AGAAGAAGAAGAAGAAGAAGAAGAAGAAGAAGAAGAAGAAGAAGAAGAAGAAGAAGAAGAACAACCACCCACCCAGTCACATGGCCACACCCACTTAGCCATGCCCACAGAACCGGTTGTTCAAATTTTTGAATCCAACCCCTCAGCAATAGATGTAGAGATTATAACTCAAGATGACAAACATATCTAATTTTCCTTTCTCCTCCTATTTTCTCCACAATAACTATCTTGTGAGGTAAGGGCTGAGAGAAACTGACTGGCCTAAAACTACCATTAACAAACTTCCTATGGCATATGCTGATATTCTCAAGGTTTTCATCACTTTGTGAGATTCACATATCTTTTTCTTCTCACACTGATCTGTGGAGTTCAGGTTCTTAACTGACTCATTCTCTCCATTATAGCACATAACAGAATATATTAATAGCTACATATTCATTCAATAGAATGTTAATATCCCGATGCATATGAAAAGAAACCTAAGTTTCCATCAGGAAGTGAGTGGAGCAAAAACCTATCACATGATTTCCATTGCTACTTTTTTGTTCCTAGGGAGGATGTTGAAACTAATTTCAGTAGAGCTAATGTATAATTAGTTAAACATCAAAAAGTTGTCTACATTAAATTTTTAACTAAGATACACCCAATAATGAATTAATTCCCATATTTGTTATGACAAGATTATACTAACATTGAATATTCTCTGTTGATTGTACAATTTCATCAGCCACAAGTGCATCATCTATATTCACTGTATTCAGCTAAAAGCAGAAATGAGAGTAATTATACAACAATAGATAACATTAGGTGAACATCACATAATTATAACTTACAAAGATAAACATAACTAAGATCCTGGATTTTCTTAAAATAATGAGGTGAAAGGAAGACTACAACTACAAAGCCAAATACTAAATTAATTAATTAATTAAGACAATTTCAGTCTTAGACAAATAATAATAAAGCATAATAAAATCAGATTGTGAGTTTTATTTCTAGTTAGAGTCACCATACAAGCTAAGGCTAAACAGGCAAAACTGGGAAGCTAGAAAAGAAAGTAGATTGGAATATGCTTCCAACGCATTCAGAACAAATAGAGATTCAAGGATTTCCAAAGAAAGAAAAGTGTTTTCATATGTCTGATAAAATAGAGGACACCCAACAAAAAAGTAAACTACCTGGGAAGTAAACAGGAAAAGAGCAGCAGCTTAAAACTCAGAGAATCATACATTTAAAATATTTGTAACCATTTAAACTGAGGATTTTAAAAGCTAAACAGATGTCTTGGAGTCTAACTAAGATATCTATCATTTCTATCATCAATCTGTCATTTAATCTACCATTTTTAATAAACTATTTCCATCATTTGGGAAAGAATGTACTGGATTTGGAAAGTTATTAAATGAAAAAAATGAAAGAAACACTCAGTAGTATCTAAATGAATAATGTAACTACATTTTTTAAATAAAAATATCTCACTATCCTACTACATTACTGTGTACTCACTGTATATAAATCCTGCATTTCTGAATTTATACCAAGGCTTGGATCTTTTCTTTTAGCTTTTTTTATTCCAAGTTTGGCAAATCCTCGAACTGCTGATGATAATAATCCATCTGACCATTCCATTGTACTAGGATTTGTCTGTCCAAAGAGTTCATCAATAGTAACACACTTTGGATTTACAACAAAAGTATCCACTTTGCTTCTCTTTGAATTATTCTGAGGAAGGAAAAAATCCTTCTAAATGAGCAATAATTATCTTCATTTCCTATAAATACACACCAATAAAAAAGGGTTTTGTGTATTTTGTTATTGATTGATCCTACGTACACAAGGTCACAAATGATGATCACATGGCTAGGAGACACTGCAACATTTTTGCTGCAATTTGGTTCCTGAGCATCTGAATTATAATCAAATCACTGTGATGACCCTGCAATGGTCCCAGCTACAAGAACCTATCATAAGTCTCCCTTATTTAGCACCATCTTAAATATGAATGATCACTGAACAAGTGGACATTTAGCAAGGACCTACTATAGTACCATAGTAAAGTCTTCTTCAAATCAAGTATGATCTTGGGTGATTTGATGAAGACATATAAGTGGTGGGATTCAAACTGTTCTACCACTGGTTCGGTGGGCATGGCTTGGTGGGTGTGCTTTGTGCGTGCGCAGAGGCCTTTCTACTGACCTTCTCCTGCACTCTCCCTGTGTCTTCAACAGCTGACACACAACAATCTGCTGTGTCATGCAATGCAACTGAGGTTGAAAAGCAGGAAATAAAGGTCAGTATGGTGGGAGGACGGGCCCAGCAGCTGATCATCTGAGCGAACCAGTTCTCTCTCAGGTGATCTTTGGAGCTACCAGTTCAGCCGAACCAGGGAAAACTGGTAGAATCCCACCCCTGCATATAAGTAATTTTCTGTAAAAAATATGGACATGTTTTGCCATTGGTTTCTTCCTGAATAATTTCTCTATTTCTATCCAACATATTGTCCTGTAATTTCTTCGTATGCTCCCATTCAAGTATCCACCTAAACCAAAGCTTCCGTAGCTTTCTGAAATAAGTGAAAGTTGACTGAATATTGCCAAAGCTTTTTGTTTTAACCATTCACTCATGTCTGACTCCTGGCAACTTTATAGATACACACTCTCCATGCTACCCTAACAAGCACAGTTTCTTTCAGTAGGCTGATTTTCAGTCTTGTGTCATAATTCTCACCAGAACACTTTACAGCAATACCTCAACATGATTGCCAACTACTCAAACTAGTTTAATAACTAGTAAATATTTAAAATTTTGAAATTCATATGGATTATTGTTCTGTAAGGTTATAGGAAAAGAGATCAACTACTCATACCATAAGAGTAATTTTAAAAAATCCTTACCTGAAAAACATCAAGTTTGGTAGCACTTTCCATATCAACTAATGGAAAGATTATCAAAGCTTTTTCTAAAATTGTTCTGATGGTAGTTTTTCCTCCACCTGTGGGGCCTACAAGCATCACACCAGCACGAGCCTGAAAATGTATTTTAAAATATCAAATCTGCAACATTCATATTCCTTAAATGATTTAGTAAATACAAACTAAAGGTCTTACAAAGTGTAGATTTATAAGCATATACTGATGGGGATTTTGTACTCCTCAATTGCAGCAACATGTCAGTCCCAAAAAACAAAGAACAATTATATGGAGTTATTCCTGAGTAGTTCCTTTATTGTTATTCGCCTACAACAGAACCTTGCCAGAGTAAAGCAATTATTTGTAATAATTATTGATATACTCTGTGAATTGATAGGGAGGGTCGAACTTTGTTCTCTTCCTGCTGAGCAGCTATTCCAAGCTCTGATGTCTCTTTGCTGCTCTGGGAAAGAGGCTCTCCCTCCTGCGACTCCTGACTACATTCCATCAGAAACATCCATTTCTGGCATTTACTGGAATACAATTCCTATAATGTAAGACCTCACTGTAAAATTTTGAGTTCTATGTACTTGTATCATATTTAACTTCTGTATCACATTTTACCTGATTAACATCCCATTGTACTCACCATAAGCTGATTGTATAGTTGTATAACCTTTTCTATCTGATTTTCCCAAGGCTGCAAAGATAAATGCTGTATTGCAAGAGATATTGCACTCTATTTAAAAAACATAGACAGATGGTTAGAAGTTTGATGACTGATCAATAATTTGACAATACATAAAATAACCAAACCTTAGTATTAAGAAAAATATAGCTATTCTGGAAACATTAGGGGGGAAAAATTAAAGAGTCACAATCAATTTCACTGACTTGACATTGAATAGACTTGAATGTACACCTGAATATGCCCCGTCTTCCCTGAATATCTGTCAGTTTTTCAAGATAGGCCAAGTGAAAGCACCAATATTACTGGGATTCCAGGCATACTGCTCTACTGTTATAGCATATATTAACAGGATCCTTAAAGCCTGTCTATGTTTTTCTCTGTCCCATCTTATACTAAAATTATAGCAGAGTCATTTTGTTTCTTTCTCTCACTTCCTTCTATTTCTGGATCTTATTAACTCTTGTCCAAGTCCCTCTTTGATGGCTTACTCATATTTACCCGAAGGTCAGCTCTAAACTCCTTTACAAAATCACTGAAATACTCAAACTGAATGGATAATAACATTAAAAAACCCCAATGTTAAAAATATTTTTATAGTTAATATCAACAATAATTATTCTTATTTTTATTACCTCTAATCGTTTAGGATTTACTTTTGGAACTTCCATTTCTGTAAAGAGATCTCTGATAATGTCTTCAAATACTGGAACATCTTCAGCAATTAACTTTGGCAAATTCACTTCTTTCAGTATGTCAATCGTGATTAGAGTTTCCTCCATTGCAGAAAACCTTTTTTTATTATATCTATTATACAAGAAAACTAATAATTAGAATTTCATGAGTTATTCTAAGTCCCATAATGTTTTCATTAATCCACCCATGCTGCATTTTTAAGGAGATATTCTTAAATGCACATTTTTGATCATATATTGCTAAAGTTGTACATTTGACTGAATTTTCGTCATGTTCAAAACAAACAAATAAATAAAACATTTCATCTAAAAATTTGTATGGTTTGTAAATAAACCTGGCAAAAAGGACCTAGATAAACTGAATTTACACCAAAAAGTATGCAGAAGATTCCCACTAATGTGGATATCAATATATCTACTCTATACTAAAAATTAATATTTGTATTAATCCATATACCTCTAAATTTTTCCCCTATATTTAACTGCACAATGGCTAATTAATTGTCAGTTAAAGCTCCTTCCTTCTTTTCTTCCTCCCTCCCCCCCTTACAAATTAAACATTATCTTATGGTATGACAGAACTGTAATTTGAATGCTTAGGAAGTCAGAAACAAAACTGATCAAGAAACTTAATTCATGAATAGTAATGCATTTTTGCTGGTTAATGAATATAGATATTCCTACAGGAATATTTAGAATTTTGGTAATTTAGGTTGAAATTCTATGAGGCAATAAGTCCTTTTGAGTTTGAAGGACTATATGCTAGAATAGGCATTCATAGATAAATCTATTGAATTTAGTTGTCTGTCTCAAAAGAAATACAAATAGGATTACAGTAAAACAGGTCTCTCCTCTACTACACTTCTTTATATAAAACCTGTAGGTCACAAATTGAGATATAATAATGTTCTATTTTTAATATAAACCACTTAAGAAAACTTACTGTTGTTTCAACTCTTGACGCCTTTGACCAACTCTTATTAATACAGTTTTTATAGCTCTCATGCCAAAATCATAGTGATCCTAAAAATAAGAACACAATTTATTTTTGTGCATTTCAAATATCTTCTTTGCAATTATTAAACAGCTTGGTTGTCAAAAATATTATCAATGTAACCAATTTGACTTCCAACTGAACTCTCCCAGAGCTAATGTGTAATTTGTCCCATGGCACTGATGCTGATTTAGAGTATAATATGTTAGTTTAATAACTAACTTGTCAGGAACAAATAAACTCTTTAAGCTTGGGGTTTTCTGAGGCTCGCCCTACCCTGCTTGATCAGCTGTTCAGGTGGGGTTTCAGAGGAAACCTGGAAGAGATCTCATAGCTCTGGTACAAGATTTGGCTGAGGTTTTAACTGCTTTTAAATAAGCAGGTAGTGGAGGCTGGTCAAACTATGCCTCGTAAACTATGCATGTGGATCCCTGATCATTTCTTGGAACTGCCAAAAGGGTTGTGTTGTAAGAAATGTCTCCTTTCAGTGATTCCAAGAAGGTTCCACACTCATTTGCACTATTCAGGTGATCCTGAGGGCACAGATAAACCTCCAGTGGGCCTCAATGACTCTCAGAGTGAGTGGTAATGACCAAATGACTGTAAGGAACATAAATCCTTCCATTATCCACCATTCAGTCAGAACTGAAGAAGCTTCTTGGATGAGAAGCTTAACATCTTCTAGGAAAAACAAAGAAAGTCCAGTTGCCTTTTGAAAAAGCACCTTTAGGACAACCATGACTTGGATGACTGAGAATCTCGATAGACTTACAAGGCCAGAAGAAAGTTGAAAATGTGTTGTGAGAATTAACACAGATACCATGACCTCTGTATAATATAAAAGATAGAATATGATGTTGAAATGCTCAATGTTCCCAGAAAGAGCTCTTTGAAATCCCTCTTATCTACTTGGCCAGTGAAGAAGAAGTATGCCTTCTCTTATCTCTTTCTTTCTACTTTTTTTCCTTTTTGGCATGAATAGATATACCATGCCAAAATTCTTGAGGGAGCCTAACTGGCCCAGTCACCCAAGCTTTCATGCCTAAGGTAGGACTGGAATTGTAGCAGATGAGCAGGCTGAGCCTAAGGGCAGGGTTAAAAGTGTCATCAATCTGGAATCAATGCAGAGTCACATGAGATCCAAGTCTAGCCTGTTGAGGTAATTCCCCATTAGGAGAATGAGTGCACACAGGGAGACATAGTGAGAGTGGTGAAGAATAACACACAAACAGCACACAGATACACTGTACAGTAAAATGTAGGTTTTTACTTCCAATAAATGTTTAAGCAAAGTCCAAGCATTCCAAGTCATTCACAGTTAAAGCAGTCTGTTTTCAGTCCAGGGATAATCCAATAACAAAGTCCAGTATCAAAAACATTTCAGTAACAGACTTACATCAAATCCAAGAATAACAGTGGCTGTGGTGGCTGTGACTGTCACTGATTTTCAGTGTGTATTCCCCCATTTATAATCTAATGATTGGTATTTAGGGCAGCTTTTTGAAAACAAAGAAGCTTTTTGTATTTTTGTATAGATAATCCTTGGCTTACAACAGTTCATTTAGTGACCATTCAAAGTTACAATAGCACTGAAAAAAGTGACTTATGACCGTCTTCACAGTTACAACCATTGCAGCATCCCCACAGTCACAAGGGGCCAGGCAAGGAGAAGTGCCCTTCAATGTGAGTGTTGTTGAGTTGGCCACGCCCAGCTAGTCACATGACCACCAAGCCATGCCCACCAACTAAGCCATGCCCACAGAACTGGTTGTTAAAAAATTTGAATCCCACCCCTGGTTTCATTAGATATATTCAAAACAAAAGAAAAAGATGCATTAATTAAGATGGCAAATTCTAACAATCTTTCAGAAAAGAAAGTGCTACACAAGCCCTGTTTCTTTTAGTGATACCTACCTATCAATTATGCAGAATTAAAGTTTATGATTGTTAAAAATACAATAAGGGAACTGCCACATGTGTGGGGTAAGGAAAGAACAGGTTACAGGAAACTACGGTGATTCTAGAGGTATTCATAGGAAGTAGAAGGAATGTTTATAAATTTTTCAGATGACACAGAATTAGGTGGATAGCTAATATAGAAACAAAATAAATTGGAGAAACAAAAGTAACAACCCTAAATGTAATGATTAGCACAACTTTTTTTCCTTAGAAATAAAAATGGGATAGCAGATAACTAGGCTGATATCAGTATTTGTAAAACAACAACAACAGTGGAATAATAAGCAACTACAAATTTAATATGAGGCATTAGTGTTGTGTGGCTGCAAGAAAAAAAGATATGCACTCCACTCTATTTGTTTATTACATCTAATTTGGGCACTGCGCTTGAATGATTTAGAGAAATTGAAAGAGTTTACAGAAAGACAGTAATTAAGATAAAGGGTCTAGAAACAATATTATATGAACAAGGATTGAAAGAGCTGAATGTGTTTAGCATTGGAAAAGGCAGTTGTGGGGGTATATGTTATTATATCAAATATCTGAAAGAATATCACAGAAATCTTGTGATTTTTCATTTCAGACTGCAGGAATGAAAATTAACTGAACCTAACAGGCTTCCAAAAGAACTCTAGAATACTAATTATCCAGTGGGATATTTGTCAATGAGAGTACAGGAAGAAGATAAGATGGCTGAAAGTAGAAATTTCCGTCCCTCTGTAGGAAATAATAGTACTATATAACTGTCAGTTGGGAATTTTGCTCCTACATCTCAAACAAGGGCACTTGCCTAGACCCAGAGTCCTTTACAGAAAGGCACCAATTCTCAATTATTTTTGAAGTTTTCTTTTAAAACTAGGAATGCACAACGTAAGGATAATGACCAGAAAAGATAATCCTTTGAAGAAATTGAGAAATTGCCCAATAAGTGCTGAAAAGAGTCTCTACCTCCCTCTATCCCCTAAGGAATGGGTCTTCACACTTGGCAAGTTTAAGACTTGTGGACTTCAACTCCCAGAATTCCTGAGATAACATGACTGGAGGAAGAATTCTGGGAGTTGAAGTCCACAAGTCTTAAAACTACCTGTCAGGATTCTGACACTTAACCCCATTTAAATTATGAGTCTCTAGCTAAACTCCAAAATAATTTATTGGGAGTTAAAAGATGCAGCATTGCCTTGGTGTAGCTGACTCTGAGATACATAATTCACCCTTGACCCTGATTTTCCCCCACCCCTGGGTGTATCATAATTCATATTCTCCAATGGGACATATCCATAACCAAGAGTGCTCTCCAATCATACGCTCCAGATAGAATTTTGCGCCGCAGAAACCTTGGTCACCTAGAAACTATCTTTGATAACATTTTTGGAATGCAAGCTGCCCACTGCTTCCTCCTCCCTTTCTGTTGGCAACTCTAAAAAGACCACAGAACTATTTTATGAGTTGACACCATCAGGTTTGAAGACCCCTGACCTAAGGTTTTGCTAGTGACTTTGGGTAGCTAACATTGCTATAGCACTTGAAATGAAACAGAAAGGAAAATCCTATACTGGATTCAGGAGCATATTCACTGAAAGTTGCATTTCCTGTGGAAAAATTATATTTGGCCTAGAAAATTCATAAAGGCAGGCAAGCAAAGAGGTGTGTGTTTCTGTGGTTCTTGGACTATCTTGTACCTCCTCAACTAGTTTGCTGTCATTATGAACAGTAAGCCATTCTATTCAGTTTAACAGATGAATATTTCTCTGTAAATTTATACTATATTTACATCTGATTTCTGCATTACTTTTCCAAATCATTGCCTCTAAGGGACATCATCTGGAGATGCTATGTAGCTACTTTGAGCTCCATTCCAGAAGAAAATTAGGATACAAAAAAGAAAACTATATTCCTTGTACTTTACCTGTAGTGATAGTCTTTTGCTAGAAAGTTGGTAAAGATTTATTATCTTCCCTGAGAGTAATTTTGCTGATTTGAAACCTTCTGAAAACAACATTATTTCAGCAATGAGTTCATAATCCGGTATTACCATTGACATAGGACGAAATAATGATTTTAAGTTGTCTGGAAGTTCCACACGACCTTTGTATCTTAAAAGGAAAGTAAATGTCATCACATTCATTAAAAACACTTCAATATGTTAGTTTTATCACATACAAATAAAAATTCCTTTCAACAAAGATACAGTACTAGTCTGAAAAAGTAGAGTTCACTACAGTTTAGATTAGAAAACAATTTTATGATCACTGTTATGATAGTGGATTATGGCAATAAGTGATGTTTAAATGCAAGTGAAAAATTATCTAACATTCTGAAATTGATAATAGTGGTAATTTAAAACTACAACATTTCGAAAATATATAATTCAGTTGCAGTACATATTCCTTGCATTTAAAAGATTCCATGATCAATCCCTGAATCAACAAATTAGGCTAAAAATATTATTTTCTGAAATCTTGAAGGTGCAAAACTATGGACAATATTAAACTAATTGTATCAAAATTATCAGTTCATACAACATAGCTTCATGCATTTGTAAAAAAAAAATAATACAGCCCCCCCCAAAGGTTCTTTCTGTCCTGGTGTTGTGGAACAATGACAGCTACAGTTATCACTTACCCAGGATTCATGGTAATAAAAATTGCACAGTGTGGTCTCAGACGGATTTCTTTTCCTTCCAGAACAAATCTGTGTTAAATGTAAAAAACAGTTCCAAGTTACAGTATTATACTACAGTTAAGGAATAAGTAGTGTACCAAGTTACAAAGCAGAGAAAGTTGATCAAATTTTTGCCTTATACAAAAAATAGCAGCAAGTAAATACTGTGACCCTAAGCTGCAAAGGATATTATGCCACATACGTTAAGCACCTTGAGTTAAGCCTAAAACAGGGGTATCAAACTCAATTTCATTGAGGGTCGCATCAGGGTTGTGTTTGACCTCAGGGAGCCTGAGTGGGCATGGTCGAGTGGGCTCGACATCACATCACTCATGTTGGGAGCATATGTGGTGGCCTGAGCACTCTGCCAGAAAAAAATGGGCTCTCGAGTTCCATTATTGGCTGTGACAGTCTCCTGCACCCTCTGCCAGTGAAAACAGAGCTCAAGAGGGCCACCTGAAGCCCCACCGAGCTCCATTTTCACTGGCAGAGACACCACAGGCCGGTTCTTCTCTGTTTCCAGGCGGGCCAGATTTAAGCACCCCACAGGCCAGATCTGGGCCCTGGGCCTTTAATTTGACACCCCTGGCCTAAAACATAAGATACAATTGAAAATAGTACAATATTAGCATAACACATTGATAATATTTACACATATGAGGTTTGCATCGGCATAGACTACTATTAGGAAGATTCTAAGTTTGGGGGAGGACTAAGGACCTGTCTATATATGTCCATATGGAGCACAGTGCAAAGGAGCTCAGTTCTGATTCCAACACAGGAGTTCAGAATAAGTACACTACTCTAGAACAAATTCGAACTAATTATGTTCCTGTAGAAATGACTATTTAAAGAAGTACACTTATTGCTAAGCAATCTGCCATAATTCTTTGTGATGCTTTTCTATATTATACTTATAGCACAAACAGCAGGTTTCCTTAAGGAGACAATTAGTTGACCTATAAAATACAGAATATACTATTTTGCCAAAGGCCCAGTGCAGACATCCAAGCCACAAAGCTTGATTAATGTCGATAGATATGCCCATATATAGGATTAGAATAATGTCCAGAGATGCCCATTTGGCAAAAGCTGTACATGTACAAGGACCGCTTATGCAGAATAACTAAGCTCTGACAAAAAGGTATGTTAATTGGCAGATCTAAGTATAACAGAATCTACCACTTACTCAACCTTTTTTCAAACTTGTTTATAGATTCCCATGTCTATTTTAACCCAGCTTTTCAGTTACAGCTAAAAACTAACCATATATTTAGAAACCATTTATTTAGAAAAAATTCTTCTTTTTGCAAAACATCAGATGATGAACAATGAGCTGATCCAAAGTTGTGATCTCATTTTTTGCTTATGAACCTTTTTCCCATGAGCTTTCCAAAAATGTTTTACCTACAATTATCCCATAATGTCAGTTTCTAGTGAAAGTAGAATCAAATTTAAGGCTTCTTCCCAACTTCATATATATACTGGGTTTACCAAAAGTTAGACCAACCATAATATGTTTATTACGGTTTTTTATTCAAATAAAATATTACTGATCTTAATGTACATCAAAAGGCTAAGGAAGTATTGTTATGAAAATGACAACCAATTAAACATTTAATGTAATTTATATAATAAACTGTCTATAGGGTCTGACTTTTGGTACACCCTGTATATTTTTTGCATCTTTTAAAATAGGAAGAAAGTTCCCGCCAAGATATTAAAGAGGATAGTAACAATATTCTAATTGTGTCTGTAATGATTTTGGATTAATCATTTAAATTTCATGAAACACAAAGTCAAAAAGTAAGTTCAATGGCACAAGAATAAGCCAAGAAAATTAAAATCCCCACCTTCATGTGAAGCTCATAATTGTTCCAATTTCATAAGAATATTCTCCATAATATATCAATCTGCTTAAAATAACTTACCAACATAGAAACTTGAAGCATATACAGGTGAAACTCGAAAAATTAGAATATCATGCAAAAGTTCATTTATTTCAGTAATGCAACTTAAAAGGTGAAACTAATATATGAGATAGACTCATTACATGCAAAGTAAGATAGTTCAAGCCATGATTTGTCATAACTGTGATGTTTATGGCTTACAGCTCATGAAAACCCCAAATCCACAATCTCAGAAAATTAGAATATTACATGCAATCAATAAAACAAGGATTGTACATTGAATAATATCGGACCTCGAAAAGTATAAGCATGCATATGTACTCAGTACTTGGTTTGGGCCCCTTTTGCAGCAATTACTGCCTCAATGCGGCGTGGCATGGAAGCTATCAGCCTGTGACACTGCTGAGGTGTTATGGAAGACCAGGATGCTTTAATAGCGGCCTTCAGCTCTTCTGCATTGTTCGGTCTCATGTCTGTCATCTTTCTCTTGGCAATGCCCCAGAGATTCTCTATGGGGTTCAGGTCAGGCGAGTTTGCTGGCCAATCAAGCACAGTAATCCCACGGTCATTGAACCACGTTTTGGTACTTTTGGCAGTGTGGACAGGTGACAAGTCCTGCTGGAAAATGAAGTCAGCATCCCCATAAAGCTCGTCTGCGGAAGGAAGCACGAAGTGCTCCAAAATCTCCTGGTAGACAGCTGTGTTGACCCTGGACTTAATGAAGCACAGTGGACCAACACCAGCAGATGACATGGCTCCCCAAATCAACACAGACTATGGAAACTTCACAATGGATTTCAAGCATCTTGCAGTGTGTGCCTCTCCATTCTTCCTCCAGACTCTGGGTCCTTGGTTTCCAAATGAGATGCAAAAGTTGCTCTCATCAGAAAAGAGGACTTTGGACCACTGAGCAACAGACCAGTTCTGTTTTTCTTTAGCCCAGGTAAGACGCTTCTGACATTGTTTGTTGTTCAGGAGTGGCTTAACAAGAGGAATATGACATTTGAAGCCCATGTCCAGGATCTCTCTGTGTGTGGTGGCTCTTGATGCACTGACTCCAGCCTCAGTTCACTCCTTGTGAAAGTCCCCAACACTTTTGAATGGCCTTTTCCTGACAATCGTCTTCAGGCTGTGGTCATTCCTGCTGCTTGTGCACCTTTTTCTTCTACACTATTCCCTTCCACATAACTTTCTATTAATGTGCGTTGATACAGGACCTTGGGAACATCCAACTTCTTTTGCAATTACCTTTTGAGGCTTTCCCTCCTTATGGAGGGTGTCCATGATGGTTCTCTGCACAACTGTAAGGTCAGCAGTCTTTCCCATGATTGTGATTCCTACTGAACTGACTGAGAGACCATTTAAAGGCTCAAGAACCCTTTGCAGGTGTTATGGCTTAATTAGCTCATTAGAGTGGGACACTTTGAGCCTAGAATATTGAACCTTTTCACAATATTCTAATTTTCTGAGATTGTGGATTTGGGGTTTTCGTGAGCTGTAAGCCATAATCATCACAATTATGACAAATCACGGCTTGAACTATCTTGCTTTGCATCTAATGAGTCTATCTCATATATTAGGTTCATCTTTTAAGTTTCATTACTGAAATAAATGAACTTTTGCACGATATTCTAATTTTTTGAGTTTCACTTTTATATCAATCTTGCTGCAAGGTTAGTTTTTTTTAAACAAGTTTTATTGATTTTACAAACAAAAAAACAAAACAAAACATCATTAAACATTAAAAACATAAAACCTCTTTCCATTGTAAATCTTTACAAGGCAGGTAACACATTGCTTTATATCACATACTTATAATTTATCCCATTTCCATATAAACATGTAAATTCCCTTTACCAAATTCCACATTGTTTCTCTTTAATCATTATTCAATCGTATTTCCTTTCTAATTTATCTGCTATTCAATCATCACATTTATATTTTCCTCTGGCTTGTTTATAATTGTTCTCATCTAGTCTTCCTCCGAGATTTTATTATTTAATTCTTAATTGAACACACACACATAAGACATAAACATAAAAACATAAAACTTTCTTTTAGAAAGTAACTTGGCCCCAGATTACCTCTTTTTGTATGGACTTCAATTGAATTCATGCTCTTCTTATATAACATTACCTATCTTGTTTACCATTCTATATCTATTATATAACTCCTCTCCACTTTTGCCTCATCTTAATTCTGTTTTATATATTTAATTTTGCTTTAAAGAAAAATATTTTTATATCTTTTGTCCATTTCTCCATTTACATCTGTCTCATTTCCAATATAAAAAATAATAGTTTCCCCTGGAATCACTAATCAGAGTATGATGCCTTTCTATCATTCCCCTAAGTTAAAATTTAAAATAACACCTAAATCCCAATCAGATTCTGCTTAGTAAATTCTACTATTTCAGAAACCAATACTACAATAATAAATCCATAACAGTCAACACATTAATCCATTAAACTCTATATTTAAACTAATATTTTAAACATTCCCTTTAGTATTTTATTAAAACTTAATATCATTCATTATTAAACTTTTTAAAGTTATACCTTAATATTTTAGTCTTTTATTAGATCTTAAAAAGTTCTGATTATCTACTTATAATACAAATACCACTATTACAATACTCATGTGTACTTTGCAGAATCCCCTTTTTTTAAAAAAACAACCCCATACATTACCCATTATCCCTAAAAAAATTTTTTCTTTTCTCCATCTTGTTTTATACCTTTGTAACTTTTTCCCCCTTTTCCCTTTCCTTCTTAGCCCGCCTAAACTTTTTACCCCCTCCTCTCCAAACCTCTGCCTTCTTGGTTTCCCCTTTCTGTTGCATTCCTCTTTCCTTTTGCTTTCTAGCATTTTGTTGTTTTTGCATCTTCTTTTTCTCTTTCATAAATATTTTTTTATTTCTTAAGTCCTTCCTTTTCGCTCCTCTCTTTCTCCTTTCTTTCTTAGTCACACCGTTTAGTTCAGTAAAAATGGCTTCTTCTTCCTCGGCTTCTTCCAGCTGTTGTTTAATTTGCTGACACATGACAAGTGCCATATCTAGGAAACAAAGGGCTTCTCCCATAACATCTTTGCCTTCTTTCCTTATTTTTAAATATTGTTTTTTTAGTTCATCAAGAGATAAAGCCATTTTGAACTGTTTCTTCTTCTTTTTCTGTATCCTCTTCTTATTATTAAGCCAATCAGTTATTTCCAAACTTAAAACAGTTCCCAAAAGTCCCAAAATCCCGCAATCATCAAACAGTCCAGGCAGAGTACAAACTTCTTCTTTTTACAATTTCTCTTCTAGGGGTGAAGTCAAATTAGGGAAAGAAAAAACGTCCAGTCTGTGCTTTAAATCTTTTTTAGAATTAATTTCTATTCTCTTTATCTTCAAGGCATCTCCTCCAGCAAAGTCTTAGAGTAAAAATTTTTTCCCAAGCCTCTCCCTTCCCACTTATAACAAAGGAGTTTAGGTTTTACCTTCTATTAAAAGGCTGGTTTCCCTTGTCCATTTGTTAATTCCATAAGGGAGGGAGAGTAACTTCTCCTTTTCATCACTTTTCTTCGCCGCTGAAAACATCAATCGGGAACATTGTAGCATCCAGAAAAAAGCCAATACTTTCCCAGGTGTTAAATATGTCCTTAAGGTCCCAGTTCGACCAAGAAAAAACTTTCGTTTTAAAACTCCTTCTTCTTCCTCCTGCACATTCTTTATCCAGTTGCCGGCTTCTTTATGGCGGCCATAAAGACCGCCGCTCCACCATCTTGAGAGAAGGGGGTTATTGCCAGCTGGGGAGGGGGTTTGCGATACCCCTCAACCCCTGTCCGGATCCCCCCTTTCTTCAGCTGCCCCAACAGGGCAGCCTTAGCCTCTAAATCCGTCAGGTTCGGAAGCACCAAGGCGGCTAGCACAGCAGGGATCGCGGAGAAAAGCAAATCCCTGCTGTCACCGAAGCCGACAAACCGGAAGTGTCTTGCTGCAAGATTAGTTTTAACACTACTATTTTTTTTCATACATTCATGTTGATTTTTACCAATTTGTGTCTATCCGCATTAATTTGAGATGGACGTTTAGAAATAATAGCATTTATCAACAATCTCTCTGAAAACAATTATTAAAGATTTTCAAAACAAAATGTTGGGTCCCATTTTTTACAAACATCCATATAAAGTACCGATATAAAGTACTTTAGAAGACTAGGAATTATTAATAAGACAAAGAATGTCAGCATACAAAAGAATTTATGTTTGACACTGGACATCTTAATATCCCAGATTCTTTCAGTTGCGTAATAAAATAGGCCAGCAGTTCCTGAATCAAGTAATAAGAAGGAAACATAGGACACTGATCAGTTCTATGTGACATTCTAATCAGCAAAGAAATTATTCCAATTATGATAGCCAGCTAACAATACAACCTTTTCACACAATACACAAAAATGAAAATAAAAGTATAATTAACTGGTACATGCTTCAAAAATTTAAACAGTACAATATAAAAGTTTTGATAATAAACACAAGATCCATTGCCAAATCCACTTTATTTGATTTTATACTAATCCAGTGTTTTCTGATGCTTGACATCTTTTTATAATACCTGATTGGCCAAGATCTGGTAAGTAATATATAGTAATAAAGTATTATAATTTGAAATCTGCAAATTAAGGTATCTGTCATTTGTGCTCTTGCCTTTTTAGATCATTAGAAGACATCCATCCAGCTCTAGGCAAGAATTAAGATGAAATCACTCTTCCACAACTTTGTTATATCAATGATACAACACCAGAGCAAAACTACACACCTTTGAACATAAAGTATTATTATTTATAAAATCTCACAGCAATTTCAAATAAATACCTGACATTGAGGCTATCTTTAGCTGCCTTAATTGCCTGAAGATGTGAAGCAATTGCAGAGAGGACTTCTATATCAATCCGATTGAACTCATCAAAACAACACCATGATCCAGATTGAACAAGCCCAAAGAACAATTTTGCCATTACCTTAAATAGACAAAGAAAGATTAAAGCATAACAAGTGAGGAATAAGGTCTCATGCAATTTATCACCAAGCTCAAAACTAAAACACCTACATCTGCCTTTGTAATACTTATACATGTACTTATGGAAAAGTTTCATAACACAGTAAGTCCTTTTTAAAAACCTGCTTTTTATCCAATATTGCTCATTGCATTATCTCTAAGACTTCATTCAGAGTCTGAGTAGCTTTTGGCCCACTTCATGCATCATTTAGCCTTTGGTTCTGCTTCAAATTGACATGACCTCTGCCACATCACTTGTAGCCTTGCCTTGGTTAACTACTCTATAATTGTCCTCATCTAATGGTGTGTTGCACCCTCCATGGCTTTTGTCTTATGTAAAGTAGTGTCAGGTGCAAATAACCTGGAGCATTCATTGAGTTCAAAGGACAGAAGAGTTTATTATTGCTACCTCTATACAAAAATCAATTCAACTAATAGTCAAAGCCAAATTGGTGCTAGATAAAGGTAAAAGGAATTCATGGAGAGCTGGATGTGGGTCTTTTGTGTCAATGCAATGACTCCAAACTTATGACACATTTATCCCTCCTTTCCAGCTCAGTCTGCTCTATAACTGGCCTTGACTGCTCCTATAACTGGCCTTGACTGCTTCAGCCTTGTATGCTCAGGGTTTTCATCTTCTGAACACCACTAAGCTATCTCTCACTGCCTTTATGGGAAGCTTGCCAGAGTAAAGAAGTTTAGGTTTATTAAGTGGGAATAAGCCAGAGACCATGACAGAAAATTGTCCATGGCACATGAGTAGTCATATTCAAATGGTAAATTAAATAATTTAAGCAAGGAATGTATATAATTGTACTTTGTTTGCAACTCCCTCCTTCCACATAAATGAAAAGATAAAGATTAGCTAATATGGTAGGGAACATATTGAAAATCAGGGAATGGAAGATAACTGTCTTACTAGTTTGCTTTTGGAATAAAATTATGCTTCATGATAGCCCAAGCTCACCATGGCACACAAAATGTGACAATATTTATAACATGCTCTCAAAATTCCAAATATACTCAAAAGTTTGCATTCCTATGTTCTACACTGTATCTTAAACTAAAATTGTTTATCATACCTTATCATCCAAATTTCCAGAACAATTGTATGTAAGACAGAATTTTCCCAAAGCCTACAAATAAAAAAATGCAATATTGAACAGAAGCAGTTCTATTTAACTGAATTGTTATCAAATAAGCATTAAATATCAAATAAGATAATATGCTTTTGCTTTAGATTTATCATTCACATTCCATTATTTTGCCTCTTTCCTAAAGGAGATGTGTTTTCAAATTTAAAAATTGAAATCCAATTTTGAAAAAATGAAGGCTCTTAAAAACATAGAATATATACAGTATATGGAATGCCTTAGCAAAGAAAAAAGATTTCTGCTAATTCAGAATGCCTGATAGCTAAACAGTGTCTTTTCACCTTTGGACACATCTTAATTTTGTAATATATTATAAAATGTTGGTACTTTGGTTCTTAAATTTATATTAAAAATTAATAAAATTCTTTCACAATGATAAACTTATGTATAGCTACTTGTCTAAGATAGTTACATTTAAAATGTTTTTTTCCTTTGCTGGTACTTTTATTAGGGGCTTGACTTTGTTAAAGGGAAAGGGTTGTTTTGAGCTTTTTACATTGCTTTACTGGTTCCTGGCGCTGTCCTTTTGGGGTGCACTTCCAAGAGGCAGGATGAAAGCTTGGCACTGATATTTTACTGCCTTTCTGGGAGCATTTGATCTTTAAATCTGAATGCTTTCCTTAGGATATCTTGATATCTTGTGAGGTAAATGAGACCAGGTGGTATCTTTAAGTGATGCAAATGGATCTTAGGATTGCTTCTCCTAGGTGGAAAAGGGTGCTTTATCAATTCACTGAGCACAGGAGTCTCTTGCCTATGGGAATTATCCAGTCATCCAAGTCATGGTTGTCCCAAAGGTGCTTTTTTCCCAAAGGTGCTTTTTCAAGAGGCAACTGGACTTTCTTGGTTTCCAGGAAGTTCAGTTGCCTCTTGAAAAAGCACCTTTGGGACAGGAGTCTCTTGGGTTGCTAAGGGGTGGGCAAGGCACATGATTGTTAACTGATAAATAAGATTAAAAAAAATAAGAGGTAGGCTGTGGCTCCTCCCTCCAATTCATTTTAGTTATCTCTCATGATAATAAGGCTTATTTAAACATGTACTAATTTTATTGTGATTCTGATAAGCTTGGGAGGGCAGAGACTTGAATCTGGGTCCCCAAGATACTTTGTTAATTTATTTATTTTTATTTATTTATTTTATTTATCAATTGCTTACAAGTTAATAGGTATAAGTAAAAACATAGTTATGAATACATGGATACATGTAAGAAAAATAAAAAAATAAAAGAAACAATAGGACAGGGATGGTAGGCACGTTGGTGCGCTTATGCACGCCACCTACAGACATCTTAGGAAAGGAGTGAGGTCAATAGTAGACAGTCTAAGGTTAAAGTTTTTGGGGTTTGGGGAAGAAACCACAGAGTCAGGTAGAGTATTCCAGACATTGACCATTCTGTTGCTGAAGTCATATTTCCTGCAATCAAGTTTGGTGCGATTAACCTTGAGTTTGTATCTATTGTTTGCTTTTGTGTTGTTATGGTTGAAGCTGAAGTATTCATTGACAGGTAGGACATTGCAATGTATGATTTTATGTACTATACTTAGATCGGACCGAAGGCAGCATTGTTGTAGGTTTTCTAGGTCTAGAATTTCGAGTCTGGTGGCATAAGGTATTCTGCAACAAGTAGAGGAGTGGAGAACTCTTCTTGTGAAATATTTCTGGACTTTCTCAACTGTGTTAATATCAGATACCTAATGTGGGTTCCAGACTGATGAGCTGTATTCGAGTATTGGTCTAGCAAATGTTTTGTTTGCTCTAGTTAGCAGTGTAATATTACCAGAGAAAAAGCTACATAAGATTAGGTTAACAACTCTTAATGCCTTTTTGGCTATGTAGTTACAGTGGGCTCTAGCACTTAGGTCATTTGAGATGAGTACTCCAAGATCCTTGACAGAGTTTGGATCATCAACAAGGTCTTGACTATTCAGCCTGTATTTTATTTTCTGATTTTTTTGCCAATATGTAGGACAGAGCATTTATTTGTTGAGATTTGAAGTTGCCATTTGTTTGACCATTCTGATACATAGTCAAGGTCTTTTTGAACGGTAGCAGTATTGTCTGTGGTGTTGAATAGCTTTACATCATCAGCGAAGAGAACACAGTTGCTCTTGATATCACAGAGGTCATTTATGTAGAGTATGAAAAGAGTTGGTCCTAGAACACTGCCTTGGGAGACACCACTGTTGACAGGTACAGAATTTGATAGGACACTCCCAATTTTGACCATTTGTTGTCTGTTTGACAGGAATGCTTCTATCCAGTTATGCAGGTGTCCAGAGATAGTGTAAGATTTTAGTTTTGGGAGTAGTTTGTCATGTACCACTGAATCAAAGGCTTTTCAGAAGTCTATGTAGATTGTGTCTATTGCTTTGCCCTGATCGAGTTGTGTAGTCCATATGTTTTTGCAGTGTAAGAGTTGCAGATTACATGATAGTTTTTTCCTAATACCAAACTGTTTATTAGAGAGTAAGTTGTTTGTTTCTAAGTGGAGGATGATGGATTGGTTAATAATTGATTCCATGACTTTACAGGTGACGCAGCATAAAGAGATTGGTCTGTAATTTTCAACTAGGCTGGGGTCTCCCTTTTTGAAGATGAGGATGACTGTGTCTTGTGACCATAGTTTTGGCAAGATTTTTCAAAGATTATGCTTAGAGGTTCAGCTATGGCAGCGGGTAGCTTTTTTAAGAAGTAGGCACATATTCCATCCAGTCCAATAGATAGAGACGGTTTTAGATTGCATAGTGCTTTTTCAACATTGTCTTCTGTAAAATTGATATGTATTAGATCATTGTAATTGTCAGTGGTTTGACTAGGAAATACTGGGCATGATCCATTGCTGTTTACAAATACTGAGCCAAAGAATGTGTTAAAGAGGTTGGCTTTAATAGTGTCGTCATTGCAGTCTTTACCATTAGGTCCTTTCAGGGGTGGGATGGACCCTGAATCTTTTAGTTTGTTGTTTACAAAATTGTAGAAAGTGCAGGTTGAATTGGTGCATAGAAGGTTTTCTTGTTTAATGTGATAATTGGTGCATTCAATTTTTGTCTGGTGGCATAAATTTTTGTATTGGCTTGTGAAGTTGGCAACGTGACCAGATTTGTTTTTCCGCCAAAGTGATTTCTTTTTAGATTGAAGCTTCCTTATTGTTTTGGGTAATTTGTTTTTTGGGAGTTGTTAATGGTACATATAGTTTGATGCCGCTTTTGACTTCAAGTAAAAATATGTTGCAATGGTCTTCTACAGTATTGCATCCAGAGAATAGAAATTGCCAATCAAGAGATTAGAGATCGTTGTTTATAAGGTCATAGTTGCCTTTTTTGAAGTTATAATTGGGGATTCCATCATTGTGATGATTTTTGTGTGGATGTATGTTGAGACAAAAATCAATCATGTTGTGTTCACTGTTGGAAAAGGGTTCTTTGTATTCCGTAAATTGAATTCAAATTATTGCAGAAGATGAGATCGAGGCAGTTGTTAAGTCTAGTGTTGTTGGTTACTAGTTGTTCTAGTCCCAGATTTGTTACTGAATTGTAGAAGGTTGCATGTGTGGGTTCAGTTGTACATTCATTAAGGGTCCGGTTAATATGAGGTAGATTGAAGTCACCAAGAAAGATAAAAGTGTGTGGGCTGGATGCTGCCCATGTTAGTAGTGCATTTAGCTTATTTGCATGTTTGATGTCATAATCAGGGGCTCTATAACATAGTAAGAACTGAAATGTGATATTTAAGGACAGTTCACAAACTATGGTCTCAGGCATAGCAAGCTCCTGGGTAACTTGGATGTTTTTTAGATGTAGGGACTTTTTATAGAAGATAGCAACATCACCTCCTCTACTGATTTCACGATCTGATCGATCAACATGATAGTCTCTTACTGTGGTAATGGAATCAGGGAGAGATGTGTTGAGCCATGTTTCACAGACAAATATAATGTCGAATTTAGTAAGAGGAGAAATTCAGTTATTTTATTTACAAGGCTTCTTGCATTGAGTAGCTTGCATTTAAGGCCAGTTGTGGTTGGAATAGAGGTAGTTAGGGGCGTGCATGCCTACTTTTGAGTGATGTTGGATTGGATGGGGTGGGGTTGGATGCGGAGTTGTGGGTTGTGTGACTTTCTTTTGATGCAATCAGCTCTGTAGTCAATGTATAGATCCTTTTCTCCATTGTCTAGATGGTTTTTGAGTTCTGTGCGGAGTTCACGGGAGCGGATTCTTTGCAGTATGGAAAAGTCTGCTCTTGAGCGAAGTTTTTTGTGGTTGGGATTGATTTTTGCAATGACATTTATTGTATGAATGAATATGCATTTGCTGGACTCATTTTTGCATTCAGCTCTACTAAATCTTGGGGCCACATAGTTTTCATTGTATTTGTACCCATGGCCATCTCTGGTTATTTCAATGAGATCTTCAGGAGAGATGTTTGTGGTATTTGAGTTGCTTATGATATCACAAACTTTGGTGATATCATCTGATTCGTTGGTGTCTTCGAGACCAAATAAGATGGCATTTGGACGTTTTTGTTCACTTTCCATAGTGTCTCTGATGAGTAAGGAGATATTATTTGTGGAATTATTTGAAGGGATAGTAATTGTTTGTGGTTGTGGTTTGGTGGTTATTTTTGGTTGTAGTTGTGATTGTAGTTGAGGTAGTGGTTGTAGTTGTTGTGGGATTTGATTTTGAGCTGATAGGTACTCACTTATCTGTGCTGTTTTTTTTTTCAAGAGAAATTAGGCTTGCTTGTATAGTTGTTTCAAAACGTGTTGCTAAGTGTTCTTCTATTGAGTGAATGAGTGATTCTATGCTTTCAGCTCTGCCAGGTCGGGTACTCAGTTTGTTTAGCTTAGGAGAACATGATGGACATAGATAAAAGAATTTATCTGAATTTTTGACCATATCAGCTTGTTTGCGTTTAAGCAGGCAGGGTGGGCTAGATTATCGCATAGGCAGCATTTGATGTAAATATCGCTTGCATTGATGGTTTCAAGACATTTGAAACATGTGCAGGAGTCTGGGAGGTCACTGGTAGAGATATTTTTCTTTTGCTTTGGTTTGGAGTTTTTGGCTGGCATGGTCAATGGCAATAGTACAGTAATCAATTACAATGGCTAGTTAATGTTATAGGTAGACAGCTACTTAATGACTGTTGGTAATTAATAAATGTTAATTGATATGTTAGAGAACAAATCAAAAATAAGGTTGCTTATTACTAAAAACCAATCAATCAATCAATTGGTTGTTCAAATCACTCTAATCAAATAATTTTGCTAAGCAACAAATACCCTAATTATTACAGTAATTACTAAACACACTGGTCAATTAAATTCACTAAATCACTGATTTTACTAATCAGATATTCAGTAATTACACTATATGCACTAAATACTCAATCATACCAAGCAATAAAAACAATAAATCAATTGATCATTTCATAAAAATTAATTATTTTAAAGAAATTGTTTTTGAGATAATGAAAGTAATGAAGTAGTATAGAGCAGGGGTCCCCAACCACCGGGCCCCAGACCGGTACCGGTCCATGGAACATTTTCTACCGGGCTGCCGGTTTGCTGGGCACCGCCATCTTGTTTTGATGAGAAAGTGCTTCCGGTGAGCTTTTCCAGTTGGAAAGCAGCATTTGGGTCCTGAAGGAATCCTTGTGCCTTAGTTTCATCGAAGTGGGGGGGGCGGCTTTGAACAAAACTAAGGCACGAGGATTCTTTCAGCACCCAAGGCAAGGCGAGCCGAGCGACCGTCCCGAAGCTGTCCTGAAGCCGATCGACAAAGGTACAAAGAAGGAGCTGAAGGTGGTGGGGAGAAGCGGGGAATGGCTGGCTGGCTGGTCGCTCGGCTCGCCTTGCCATGTGTGCTGATGCCGGTACCGGGCCGCGGATCATTTTGTGATGCTGGTACCGGGCCGTGGCACAAAAAAGGTTGGGGGCCACTGGTATAGAGTAGTATTGAGAGTTGGTAAGTAAAGGGTTATTGCTTTGCTTTGTTTTGCTTAGCTGTTGCTGATATCTGAGAATAGGTTTATAGACTTTATAGACTGGCAGGAGGTCTCTTTTCCTGGGCTGTTTGAAAACAATCAATGAGCAAGGGTTTACACTCTCTTTCTTGTTTTGTAGATTGAGTTTTGTAGATAGTAAAGATGCAAAGATGTTGAACGGGGGATCTCTGTCCCCTTCTTCAGCAGAGATAAACAGAGCAATTCACTGGGAAGCAACAGGAAACTTTTTGTTTTGTTTTCCCTTGATGAATGGGATTTCTGGCTCCCTCCTAGTTAATTTAAATACACTTTCAAAGTTTTTTGCTTTTAGAGAAAGAGAAAGATAGTCTTGCACTGGCAATTTGAACAGTTTATATTTTTACTATGTAGACTCAGATTTGTATTGAGCATTCGCTCCTGGCTTCAATATCCTTCTGCTTATATCACAGGAAAGAAAATTGCTTCCAATCTTCACAGGAGTTCAGTTATAACAATACTTCCCTACTTATTGAAAGTCCAAAGTTACTGTCCTTTTAAAGAGGAAGTCCGGATTAGCAATTTGGTGAAGAGGGAAGGAGGGGTGGCAGGGGGGAAGTAGTCTGTTTCACACCCTGGCTGCACACGTCTGAAGACCAACTCACAGCTCCCGGTGCTTACCACCCTGCAAGGATGGGATGAATCTCACCATCTCACTGCCCTGCAAGGATGATCGTTGAGCCCCCCCACCCCCCAGTACTGGCAAGCCCCACCACTTTACCTTCTAGTAAGGATAGGTCAAGTCGCAGATTGTTGAGTGCTTTTGAATAGAGCGCTCCCGAACTTGGTGCCCACCAAGGAATGAGTTCTTTTCTGGCGTGCTGGTCAAGGATGGGAGGAATTGGAGATCTCCAAGTACTTTTGAATTGACCGTTTGCTGAGGAATGGAGCTCTTTTCTGGCTTGCTGGCAAGTCTCGGGTGTTAGGCTTTCCACCTTGCTGGCTGGACCCACAGGGATTAGAAGGCTTGTCGCCTGGCACTGCCCACGCCCACTGGAGCTCCTCACGCTGCCTCTACTGCTGTTGCCATCTTGCCTCCATTTTGATCCTGTGTCTCTTTAACTTGGCATTTTGTAGCCCAAGTGTGCCCATCCACTTTCTGGAGAGCTTAAATGAACTCTCTGCTAAAGGGTTTCGCTTTATGAGCAAGAGTTGGCTCCTGATAGTTATCATTGCATTTTAACTATTTTAAATCTTCAAGGTGCTCTGGCACCCTGCCTGATTTTTAACTCTGGGTTGCAGGTATTGCTGATGAAAAGGAAGGTATTCAGACAGAATGGTTTAGGTTTCCATGATGGCTGTGACTGTCATTGATTTTCAGTGTGTATTCCCCCATTTATAATCTAATGATTGGTATTTAGGGCAGCTTTTTGAAAACAAAGAAGCTTTTTGCATTTTTGTACAGGTAATCTTTGACTTACAACAGTTCATTTAGTGGCCATTCAAAGTTACAATGGCACTGAAAAAAAGTGACTTATGACCATTTTTCACACTTATAACCATTGCAGCATCCCCACGGTCATGAGAGGCCAGGTGAGACAAAGCACCCCTCGATGTGGGTGAAGTCAAATTGGCCATGCCAACCCAATCACATGACCACTCAGCCACACCTACCCAGCTGGTCATTAAGGCAGAGAACCATTTGTTAAATTATTTGAATCCCACCACTGCTTCCAAGGTTGGTAAAATGGGGACCCAGATTTTTGGGGGCAATATGATGGCATTGTAAACTCCTCAGAGATTGCTGCAAAGTACTATGGTGTGGTATATAAGTCTAAGTTCTATTGCTATAATTAAAGAGGATTTGAGGGGAGTTAGGCAGCCTTAAAAATGTAATAAATACCTAACTGGCAGCTTGTAAATCAGTATTGCGCAAAGCAATTCAGCTCACCAGCCAACAGATTATAAAATATATCAGTGTAATAACTCTAAGCAGAGTCCTCATGCTTTTGAACAGCTCTGATTGCAAGAGTTAGATGAGTGAAGGGAAGAATGAGTAGTATATAAGAGTGGAAATGTCAGCAGTGAATATTTTATTTCAGTCAAGAGTAGTAACACATGGAACTCTGGGCTGTTAACTCACTAAAAGATCGTAAGCTGCCTTTCTAATTAGTACTTAGGGAAATTAGGGAAAGAAATTTCCCTGAGTGCTGCATGGATGTTTTCTCTATAAATTCATAAAATTCATATAAACAAAATATAAATTCATATAAATAATATTCATATAAAATTCATATAAATAATTCATATAAAATAAATTCATTTCCTCTCTTTACCATTGCTGAAAAAGATTCGTTTCATTAAGCAAGTCAATCACATTCATTTGAGGGCTGCTTATAAAAGCAAGAGATAGAGCATATGCAAAAAGGAGAGACAGAAAGAAGATGTTTAATTATGTAGAACAGGGCTGTCAAACTCCTGGTCCACAGGCTGGATGCATCATGCACTGGCCAAAGTGAAGGGGAAAAGTGTCCCAATATATCACATGATTCTGCTGTAATGATATGAGTTTGACACCCTTGATGTAGGACTTGTAAGATATTGGTTTGCAAGAATTTGAAGGGAAATTGAGCAGCAAATGGCAGAACTATGTTGTCCCAAAATATGTATTTCCTATTAATTGTGCAGAAAACATACCAGTATACATTTTACAAAAAGCATATCATGATATAGAATATAGCACTTACTTTTGACAGATCTTTAACTGTTTCTGTTTTTCCTGTACCTGCTGGCCCAGCAAGACAGCATCCTAGATTTAACTGTAGTGCTCCAGTAATGGTTAACCAACACTGATCAGTAAGAGGCGTGATAACCAAGCGTGGAGAGCAGCCTAAATATTCATAACCATATTCAAAGGAAGCATAACCTTGAATAACTGTGCACAGGTTGCATTCATGCCATTTGTAACGCAATTGCCTAAATAAAACATGTTTACATAGCAGTTAATGACTCATATGGATTATCAAATATTATAGGTATCAGATTATACAGGTATAAAAATTCAGTGTTGTAAGAATTGAATTTTTCAGCATACAAAACAATCCAAAAATCCATTAAATACAAAATTATGTTAATAGGGTAGGAAAATGAGATATCTGGGAACTGGAGTGTTATAGTGGTTAAAATACAAGATTAGGAATGGGGACTTCCTATTATTCTCCCAAGCCCCTGAAGTCATGACAAGAAGCAATGGATGGAAACTAATCAAGAAGAGAAGCAATCTAGAACTAGGGAGAATTTTTCTGACAGTTAGAACAGTTAATCAGTGGAAACTGGACAACCATTTGCCTGAAGTGGTACAGAGCTGGCTTCCTGCCTGAGCAGGGGGTTGGACTAGAAGACCTCCAAGGTCCCTTCCTATTGTGTTATTCTGACTCCCAGGTTCTAAGCCTTCCGTAGGCATGGAAACCAGCTAGATGGTCACTCATTCCCCCTCACTCTTAAATGGTATCAGACTTGGTAAATGGTGTCTGAAGAAGAAAACCTGTTACATCATGCATTTTTCATATGAACTAGGTGAGCACAGGGGAAAACAAGCAAGGACAAACTCTAAGAAAAGATTACAATGAAGTACCTAAAATCAAGCTTTTATTTTAGTGATGGGAATATGAACATTCTGTTCAAGTATAAACATCCCGCATTGGCATGAGTTCACCTCGAGGTAAAAGTAAGGTTTTATGCATAATAAACTGCTTCAAATATCTTGTTTATGTGAAACATTTACATTCAAATATCAACATAAGCCAGATTTAAAAACAACAACTGCTGGTCTGTTGGAAAAAGGAGTGCAATGGTATGCTATTGAATTGCTCTTTGCTTTTTCCTGCCAGTGGAAGATACAAGAATGGTTTATGATAAGTTACAATTATGCTAAAAATAGTAAGAAATAAGTAGTTCTGAGTACTTTCAGAAAGAAAGGGGGGAAAGTCTTCATTTCCACTTGCTCATACCAAGTGCATCTGTTCTTAAGGGCTGGAAAGTAGCCAACGTGACTAGATTTTTTTAAAAGGTCAAAGAACAAGAAAAGGCTAGGTGGCTTAACCTCAGTTATGGAGACAACATTTGAAAGAGATAATATTGAGAAACATAGATCCTGCCTCACTAAAAAGAAACCAACACTGCTTCTACAAAGTTGCTAACAAAATGTGTACACTTTTAAAGGGTAAGATTCCAGCATGAAAATTTAGGGAACAGAAATAGAAGTATCACACAGTTCTAATTCCCAAGTGGTCTTCAAGAGCAGGCACAAGGCAGTGAATTCTGTATATCTACTCAGAACCCTTGGGTAAAATACATAAAGTCAATTTATGAACACACATAAAAGAGAATGGAATAATATTGCATCTGAAATTAAATATCTGCTTTGCATATTATATTTATATTTTTGTTTATTTAAAATACTTATTCTTGAATATATCTTAGCATTTAAGGTAACTATACCTTGTCCATTCAAAATCTTTAATGCCAATCTCTTGATCTATCAGTAAAGATAATATATCTCTATTATGGATGGACAAAGAAATCAAAGCTTCCAAGGTGCTTTGCTTGTGGTAGGGAAGAATATCTGATGCTATCTCTGTAAGTTGCTCTAGAACGCTGATCAGATCATCCAGGTCTTCTATCATTTCCTTTTTTGAATTAGAACTCAACATAGCTGCTTCACATTCCTGAGAAAACTTTATGTGACTCTAAAAGTGAAATACTATATTAGTAATGATAATAAAATTTTAAATTATTTACTTGTATTTACTTGTAAATAATGTAATTTTTGAAACAGGAGAGTATTTAAACATCTTTCAGAGTATCCCCATTAAACTAAGGCAAGGCAAGTCACATTAAAATGTATTTCCCTTATTCCCTTGAGGAATAAGGAACTTGAGGAAAGGGAAATAAATCAAATTTAAGTCCTAAGAATAGAAGGAACCCCCCCCCCCAAATTCCAAATGTGGTGGAACATAGGATATGAAAGAAACAAGCTGAATCCTAATAAGGCAGAAGAGCTAGTTGTCCCCCAAACAAATATATATTGTTTGTTAACTGCTATACTCACATCTATGTTGTAATATGTACGTTCTTTAAATCAACAAATAAGAATAATCTTTTTTATATCCATATATTTCTCAATAGTCTGCTAAAGAACAAAAATCTGCTCTGCACACATTTACCAGGATAAAACCACATTGCATTTCTGAAATATTGTTCATTGTCATCTTTTCAAGCACAAATTAAATTAATATTTAGTAATTTTTGCATTCATTCTTGCATTTCCCCTCTGTATTGGAGAGTAATACCAGCATTCTTCCCTTAGGCACAGAGGCAGTTTTCACTTACATGTCATACAGCCATACAATCCATATGCATATATTATTATTTCTCCAGTTAGATCATCTATACTTATTTTTAAAACATTCTTACAGATATTATAACTTACTTTTCTTCCAATTTTTCTTGAACATTGTTATGGTTTTCTCTGACAATGTGATGACCCAGGGTGTGGCACAAAAGCAACAAAGTCACAAAAGTAGGTAAAGTCCCTTAAATACCTCCAACTTCGCCCCCAATGTCCAGTTACCATCAGCTGGAGAAAAAATTCTCCCAAGAACAGTTTTTAAAGAGAAGAAATTCAATCTGAACCCAAAGTATATATAAATTATAAATAAAAACCAACACAAACCATGCTGCAGCAATTAACCAGACAGGGCAGGATAAGAAATTGCAGACTTCAAAAGTTAATGAAACACACACAGTTGGGAAGATGCCAGAACCCAGATAAGACTTTACAAATGAAGACAATTCACGCTTTGCTTCCAGCAAGGTGCTGTGCCCAAATGCCCTTCTTAAATCCTGTTTTCCCAGCTGCACCTAATGAAGGGAATCAGGGCCCTTTTCTCCCCTGTAACCCATGTAACTCATGTTGCTTCATTCTCCGTTCCTCCCTGTGTGCCCTAGGATGAAGAAGGGGTGGCACTGGGTCTTCCTCTGAATGCCTAGCGACTGTGCACTTCCCCAGTTTCTTCCACAGCCACCAAAGCCACACTCCCACTCTCTGTCAGCTGCTCAACCCCCGCCTCGGAATCAGATTCCAACAGAGGCATGACAGACTCCAACCTGAGGACCTTAGTCCATCAAGTTGTCAGCTAGCAAACCACAGACAATCAATCATTTAAGGGTGACCAGGCAGACAATCAGCAAGAGTAGATGAGGTTGGATTCAGATGCTGAGGGCTAGACCCTGGCAAACCTCTAGACTTTGGTTAAAATTGTCCAGTTTTAATTTTATTTATTAATTTGAAATATTTAAAGAGCCACACATGTTCCAACCAAGTAAATGTATAGTTAATATAGTTAAATAGTACTATATTTTGCTTACCACAATCAATATCACCTGTCCTGGATGGGTAAAAAACCATTCTTTAAATTCCATTTGATTCCACTCTGTAATTCCAACTTCTATAAACCTTAAAGTATATTATATAGTCAGAAAAACATGAAATCTTTGAAATATTCCTTTTATAAGTTACTAAACCATCTCGGGTCACGGGTGGGATTCTATCGGTTTGGACCAGTTCGGTAAACCGGTTATGATACTCCATAGTTCACAGAACTGGTAAATCAGGCCTGTGGCTGGCCCCACCCTCTCCACTGCTTCTCCGCTCCCTGCCCAGTCAGTCCCTATTGCACATGCACAACATTGTGCGCATGCACGACATGCCTGCAGCCTGCTTTTGCCTGCCTGCCAGGCCAGCAATTGCCCTGATGATCACAGGTAAGCCTGCAAATCATGCTAGCCCCTCTCCCACTGTCCCCAGGCCTCCCTGGGCCTCGCCCAGCCATCTCTGGGCTTCCCTGGGCCTCGCCCAACCCTTCTCAGGCCTCCCTGGGCCTCGCCCATCTATCTCCAGGCCTTGCTGGGCCTCACCCAGCCATCTCCGGGCCTCCATGTCCCTCGCCGGAAATCCCCCATCTTGCGCTCAACCTGGACCTGCTCCCACCTGGCTGCCTCCTTCTTGACATGAGCAGAGGCTTTTGGTTAGAGTAAGGGGAACCACAGTGCTGGTCTCCCATGGCGGTGAGTGCCAAGGGCATAGCTAGAATTGGAAGAGGTTGCACATCTCTGGCAGAAAGAACCAGAGCTTCTTGACACGAGAGCAGCTGCCGCCTTGCTCATACCTGTTCATCCAAGCTGTTGGGTATTGCCCCAGTTCTTTCCGTCAGAGCTGCACAGCCTTTTATTCCAATTCTAGCTATGCCCTTGGCACTCACTGCTACTGGAGCCCAGCAGTGGTTCCCCTTGCTCCAACCAGCAGCCTCTGCTTGCATCCAGAAGTCAGCGGCCAGGCGGGAGGGGGCCAAGGTGGGGTGCCATTTCCAGACTAGTCCGGACGGCAGATGGGCGAGCAGGCAGCCCTCAGGGTGATGTGGTGATGGCAGAGGCTGTAGCATGCCACAACCGTTTGCTTTCTTTGCTGCGCTGGGGCTGAGACTGAGAGGGGTGGCAGAAGTGCACCAAAAGGGAAGATGGGAAATCCTGGGGCTGCTTCCCGCAGCTGCACCATGCTGCCCACCCCTGCCATGGTGCTCCGAAAGGGAGGGTGGATGGATGTTTTGGAGCTGCTGCTTTCTTTGTTCTCCCACCGGCTGCTGCTCTGGAACTCGCCTGATCAGTTCGTCCCAGACCAAGTGTGTGTGTGTCACGAGAGTTTGGTGTGTGTGTGTGTGTGCGTGTGTGTGTGTGAGAGAGAGAGAGAAGGAAGGAAGGGCAAGAAAGAGAAAGCATGAACGAAAGAGCATGAAAGAAAGAAAGAAGAAAGAAAGAGGAGGAAAGAAAGAGGAGGGGAAAGAAAGAAAGAAAGAAAGAAAGAAAGAAAGAAAGAAAGAAAGAAAGAAAGAAAGAAAGAAAGAAAGAAAGAAAGAAAAACAAATAGGAAGAAGGAAAGAAAGAGAGGGAGGGAGAGAGGAGAAAAGGAATGGGATATATTGAGGGAGGGAGGGAGAGAGAGGAAGAGAAAGAGAGAGAAAGAAAGAGAGAGGGAAAGAGAAAGAGAGAGAAGGAAGAGACAAGAAAGAAAAAAGGGAGAGAAAGAAAAAGGGAGAAAGGAAGAGAAGGGAAGAAAGGAAAGAAAGAGGGATGGAAGGAAGGGACAGAAAGAGAAAGAAAGAGAGGGAGGAGAAAGTGAATGAGATGGATGGATGGATAGATACATGGAAGGCGGGAGGGAGGGAGAAACAAAAAAAAAGGAGACAAACCCCGGCTTCAGAAAACTCTTTGAAACAGCAATCTACAGCTAGCCTGTGAGGGATCTCGGAGGTCATCTTCTAGTCCAACCGCCTGCTCCAGCAAGGTTAGAAGAGAGAGAGTGTGTGTGTGTGTGTGTGTGTGTGTGTGTGTGTGTGTGTGTGTGTG